AGCCAAGGAGTAGCAGTAGAAAGGCTGCAGAAAGAGTCAGGAGCCCAGAGGAGGGGCAAAGGAGGTGAGGGGTGGGGGCAGAAAGTGGAAATGAAAGCAGACAACAGAACATTGCTAGAGAGCAGGACAGGAGGTGAAAGGAGACAATTTTAGAGAAGAAAATTTTTCGGTCGCTACACGGATTCGAACCCGGGACCTTTGAATGAGAGGCCAACACCTTAACCTTCAGGCCACGAGAGCCTCCGTGAAGGAGTGTAAGGGGAGAAATTGGAGGCGGAAGCAGAGGACAGAACATTGTTAGAGCAGGGGAGGAGGTGAAAGGAAGAACTAGTTTGAAAGAGGTTTTATTTTATTTTATTGTTTTTATATATGCTTGAAAGTACTAAACACCCGTCCTCCTGCCCCCCCCCCCTACTTTATGTCTGCCTGTTGTTAGGCACTTTGACTTTGTGTGTGTGTGTCGTGTCGTGTGTATGCGTGAGAGAGAGAGAGAGAGAGAGAGAGAGAGAGAGAGAGAGAGAGAGAGAGAGAGAGAGAGAGAGAGAGAGAGAGAGAGAGAGAGAGAGAGAGAGAGAGAGAGAGAGAGAGAGAGAGTGCGTGTGTATGTGTATGAGTGTGAGAGTGAATAAGTGAAGACACAGACAGACAGACAGACAGACAGGGTTACTTTTCCAAAAGCCGATCTCTTTTCACGAATTCAGACGCTATTGAGATAACAATTTAAAAAATGAAATAAAACAAACCAACAACAACAAAAACCTACCCGCATACAAGTGTTTTACATGTATTATTTACAGTAGCCTTGAGTAGCTATATATCCTGTCTATTTACTGCCGTTAGTCCGCATTGTGTGTCGTTGGCTGAGTGTGATAAATCGGTACCCGTACATAAAGTTCACTTAGCGGTCGTTAGAACTGCGTACATGTATTGTATTGGGAAAACCCCCCCACCAAAAAAACGAGTAAAATACTAATAGTAATAGACTTACTTACTACCTACCTGTCGTGTCTCTTTGCATTCACATTCTGCCGTCGGTGGCCTAGTGGTTAGGCTCTGGGACTCGCAACCGTAAAGTCGTGGGTTCGAATCCCGTCAGGGGCCCGACGTTGTGTCCTTGGGCAAGGCACTTTACACGAATTTTCCTCACTTCACCCAGGTGGGAATGGGTACCCGGCTATAGACAGCGAAAGATCTTGTCAGTTTGTTAGTGTTT